GCGGGGCGGGAGCGGCAACGCAGACCCGTTCTCGAAATAAGCGGGCAGCTCGCGCGGCGCTTTAGCGGCGAAGTGTTGTGATCAGGGTTGTGTTGTCGAGATATTTGTTTTTATTCGCAAACGAAATGTCTGAACAACGGCGACAATTTTATTTCGATTCAAATTTATTCCTAACGCTCGATTTATTGTGGGCAAAAGAAGGAGTGCGCTGCCCGCTCGTTGCCCGCTCCCTCGCCGCTGCCCGCTCGTTGCCCGCTCTGGCGCCGCTGCCGCGCCGCTGTTTTCGAGAACCGGTCTATTTGATTTTACGCATAAGATCCTGCCGCTCCCGCGCCGCCGCCGCCGCCGCCGCCGCCCCGCTGCCCGCTAAGTTCGAGGCTGAGGCCTAACTCGCTTCGAAAGGCTATCTTTAAGACCAAAGCTAAAGACGCTGCGTCTGTGACGCTTAGTTCGAAAGGCTACCTTTAGCGTAGCGTCGCGTCGCGCGTCTTGTCGCGCGTGTCGTGTCGCGCGTCGTGTCGCGCTCGTCGCTGACTTAGGACACCGCGTTATCTGTTGCCACGTTAATTTGAGGGGATTATCTGTTGCTCGTGAGTTGCCATGACAATTAACTCCTGTTCAGGTAAATTAGAATTATTTATTAATTGGTGTTTATTTCACAACGTATAGGCGTACAAAAATCACTTAGTCTTATGCCAAAAGAAGTATCCATCTCGGACGACACATCATGCACCCGGATGAGATAGCAGATATCACGCTCCAAAGAATCTGGAAATTTATAGACTCAACGGGACTAAGCAGTGAACTTTAAAGACAAGGGCTGCCACAATAGATCAAACCTGGTCGAGTTGGCGCAAATAAAGGCCCAAAAACCAATCCCATATTATAAATGCGAAAGTGACTCTGTCTGTCTGTCTGTCTGTCTGTCTGTCTGTCTGTCTGTCTGTCTGTCTGTCTGTTACGCTTTCCCGCTTAAACCTCGCAACCGATTTTGATGAAATTTGGCATAGAGATAGTTTGAGTCCCGGGAAAGAACATAGGATAGTTTTTATCTCGGTTGTTGAAACAGGGACGCGCGCGATAAAGTTTTTCTGTGACAGACAAAATTCCACGCGGGCGAAGCCGCGGGCTGAAAGCTAGTAATAATAATAATAGTCTTATGCCGGTATTAATGAAAATAGGCTTAAAACTCGAGTGTTTTTCTTAATTTAATTATCAAAATATTAAGCCTTAAAATATCAAATTAAAATCGTGAGTTGAGATTGGGTAGGAAATTGGCTATAATAATCACATATCTATACTATTTATACTAATATTATAAAGCTGAACAGTTTGTTTGTTTGAACTACTGGTCCGATTTGAGAAATTTACAATATGAGCAGAGCAAATGAAAAATAGTTAAACAATGCTCCTAAGGCTTCTTTGTAGTCGATGATTGAAATGAGACGTTTTCTGCAGGTCGTTAGTCGTCCGTTTGCAGGACCACACAGTCATGGAAAATGTATGACAGTTGGATGACAATTACCAATAGTTAGTGTGTGGTCTTGCAAACGCACGACTGACGTCCTCAAAAGGTGTAATTTGAAAGAGCCCTAAGGGCATGATCGAAGGGCTCCTATAAATCCTCCGTGAAACTCGGAAGTTTAGTGGCTTGGCTCTGAGTTCAGGATTCCACTGCTGAATATATGCCCCATTGTCTTCAAACTACCATAAATAAATAAAAAATACAGAATACACGTCCTTCTTACCTATCTGAACTAGGTACTATAAGTTGGGGTGAGAGACTATATTCCCCTCGTTCGTTTCAGCTGAAAGACGTCCACTGCTGGACAAAGACCTCAAGGTTTTCCATAAAGACCGGTCCTGCACTGCCCGCATCCAGGCACCTCCCGCGACCTTCACCAGATATTCCCTTCATGAGTAAATTATATTTACATTAAATACATCTAAGTTATTTCCAATTCGGTCTTTGTATCACCATTCCAGAAAATTGTTTTGTTTTGATTACTTTTGTTATTTCTATAAGGCAAGTTGCCAAGCTTCTGCCTCTTATTAACAAAGCTGGAGGCCTCTACCATATTATCAAACCAAGCTGAGGCCAAATGCTTAATGTTAACCGAGACCGTTATGTGCTTTGAAAAGCACAGAGATTCTTGAGATAAATGCTACCAAATAGTAGGTAATATAGTAAGAACAAGGATGGCTTTGGCTATGTACTTACTTACGAACGTTGCACAATTTTAGTGAATTGCCACTAAAGCGTTTCTAATATAAAGCTACATGTATTACATGACTGAGCTTGTTGCAGCACTTCTTATAAATTAAAAAAATAATAAATTACCTACTCCTTCATTAATAGTACTGATTTCAAAACAGTTCCCAGTCACGGCTGTCTCGGGAACGTCAAATAAATCACATTCATTACTTACCCGACATTTTAAGTATTTACAATCAATTAGAAGTCGAGCTTGAGTCTAATTCCTTTGTAACAATATCCTATCTTTGAAATAATAGAATCAACAGTTGTTTTAACAATGGCAAATGTTCTTGTATTTTCTGTTTAGGCGAGACTTAATTTAAGCTTTATTTATGCACGAAAAACGAGTTAAGCCATTAACAGATGACTTAAGCCTTTAATTTTAATTGAATATATTATTAAATAGTAAGTTACCATACTATAGAATTGGGAAACTAAGACTAGGCGCAGACCACCGATTTTTAGTAGGCCGATAACTAGTTGGGTCCGATTTTAATTTTTATGAAGAATCGGTCAAATCAAATCGGTGTAATGTGCGCACTTCCATTGCCCATACTGATTAACTGCCCGACTAAACTATCAGCCGACGAAAAATCGATGGTCTGCGCCTAGGCTAATGCCCATTTCACTATCATACCCTAATTTTTAAGCGACTCCTATGAAAACAAAATATCTGTTGCCGGGGTCACTTAAAAATTTGGGATTGATGGTGAAAACGGGCATAAGGATCCTAAAAGATTTTATGTATATGATTTTAACTAAAGTTAGAAACCTCTTGTAGCTTAAATTCGAGAAGTACCTACTCTAGGTCTGATGAAAAACAATAAAACTCATAAATATACTTACCCGAATTCATAAAATATCTCTTACACCCCTTAATTCCATTTGATGCTTTGATTTTATAAGGCTGCGATGTAACACAATATTTCGGGGAGCTCGCTGAAATTGGCTCGAAACGCAGATTTCAGTAAGTGCCGACAATGGCATCGCCCTTCTGAAAATTTTCAGTGGAAATCTTTAAAGTGCCGAATTTCGCCTGATAATATTTGATGCGGAAGACTAGTTCAAAAGCTTCCGTGCAGTAATTTTATTATGAAGTTTCGTAAATTTATTTCAATTGGGTTTTATTAAGATCTGAGAAATTTTTAAAAATATCCTGTCTTGATAACATTTTACATAGAAAACTAAGCCATATTACTGATTTAACTGTAGGGAATTTTCGTATGATCATTGGTGAGAAAAGCTTGAAATAAAACAAACTACTAATGTTCACTGCTATTAATTTTTATTTCCAAGAAATTATTACATTATAGTACAGTTTTGGGCACGGCTTTTGGTACAAATATTTGAAATATTATTTTAAAGTAAGTACTATCAGCGATATCAATTCATAATTTTAAAACAAATACTATATTTTTTTTCTGTGATAGTTCAACATTTATCTCAACAAAAAATTCAACTTTCGTATGTACACAATTTCAAAGGTATCTAGCTGCTTCGTTACTTGGTACCTACATAATAAAAAGGAAACTTATATTTGTTTTACACCAAAAAAGTAACCCTCTTCTGATCGTGTGAGGTTTGTATAAAAAATGTGGGCACAAACGTTTCAATTTGCATATAATTATGTTTCTTTTTACTTCTGAAATAAATGTTGAAGCAAATATTTGAATAGTAATTATTTAACAAAACTTGTGACACTAATTACATTTCATATACGCTTACTTTTGATTAAATTAAATTAATCTCCATCATTGAAGCCAGCTCTAATTTATATAACTAACGATTTATATACAGTACATTTATATACAATAAACTTGTGACATCATTAACATCAATATAACTTAATTTACTTTCTTTGGTCTGAGATATTTACAAGACTCATTTTGTATCTTATTAAGACTTAAAATGTAATAAAGTAACAACGTACGTTTCTTAGAAATAAGATTTATCATTTCAGCATAATTATCAGATTTTACAGTGCTATTAGGTACAGTAAAATAAAATGTACCTTATAGTACTAAGATGTACTAAGATGTTTTATAATTTCGTAAAATTTCCTGAAACGTGGAGCCGTTTTTGTAATTTATTTAACACATTGAATGCCATCTACGTGTATTCTTTCTCGTTTCACATTCACGAAAGTAATCTCATTAAGGTTCGTACAATGACGTATTAAGTACGGCAGTTAGTACATTTATTATTTACATTAGGGGAAACCCGTCGAAAAAATCCGATATGGCAGGAGATTTCCTGTTGCGTTTAAACTTTGAACCAAATAATTGTACTTCAAGGGGCTAGAAGTAAAAATGTTACTATTTTTTTTTCTATACGGCGTTTCATATTCAGTAACTAATATAATGTCATCCATGTATGTCTGAGAACATTTAAACATCAATCTTGATTTTATTCTTAACATTGATACATTACATATTTTTACTGTGACTACAAAATTTTGCAAACATAAATCTTAGCGCGGTAAGTATGAAATTTCTATCGATTTGTAATAAATTCGTTAAATTATTATATTGAATGATTTTTATTAAGGACAATGTTAAATAAAATATCTGCAAAATAATCGACCCATAGAATCGCTGAAAATTACAAAGTTTGATTGAATCTACTTATTAAAAAAAACTAATATCGCATTAATTAAAAAAATCCTATTAAAAATTTACAAGAAATACAGATATGCACATAATTACTATAAATCCATATACTTACCACATATATCTACTTATACTATGTCTTTTATAAATATCGAGTTTTTGTATAAAAATAGTGTGTGTTTCCACTCTATCTGTTTATACACTTGTCATCGGAGTCTCCAGTGAGGAAGTCGTTGGTATCCCTGATGCTCATGATGGTGACTCCATCCCCACTGTTCCTGGATATGATGTTGCTTTTTTTTTTAGTGCTTCCGTAGTCGTAGTTTGAGATCACTACACTTTCTGTGGGGTTCCTGAAAGCGTTTATAGAACAGTTACTGCTGTAGTTTAAACAACATGGTATGGTAGATAGAAATTTTGCAGATGAAAAGGTATGTTTTCACGAAAAAATTGTGGGAGAAAGAATGGAAGGGATTTTGTTAAGAATACCATGGAACCAGTAGATTCAAGACAAGACCCTTTTCCCTGAAATGTATACCGAAATGAGATTCCTCGAACTCTATAGGAATAATTAAATTTTAAATTATTGGTAATTTAAAATTTAATTCTTCTTGGTAAAAGGTAATTCTTTCCGGTGGCCAGTTTGAGACTACTTGTCCGTTTGTATCATTATTGCTACTCGAGCAACTACGTTTTCTGTTGTTGATATAGGCACTCAAAGTTAAGAAGATGATAAAGGTCTAAAGATTATGCTAAGTATTGTGTGTTAGGGGTTTTCAGCAGTGGTTTGAGATGAACTGATGATAAATGAAGCAATTTACTTTCTGCCAATATTAGACAAGTGTTCAAACCTATTACACCGGTGCCGATGGGTGCTCCTGAAGGAGGTCTCGCACACAGCCGTCCTGGAGAGCCTGGAGCTGCAGGTGGGATGGAGGGACCCTCGGCGGCAGCAGAGGTACCGGTTGAAGTGCTGCCTGAAGACTCCACTGACGCAATACAAGGCGACTGGGTTGACGCAGGAGTTCAGGAAACTGTTGGAGAAAACGGAGTTACAAATAATAAGAAGTGAAAAGTTATAGTTGTTGCAATTCACGAAGGCGAGTGAGCTTTACATTTGTGGTGGCTCACTGTCGTTATGTGCATGTACACGTACACTCACAAGTAAAACTCAATCGCCTTCGTGAGTTGCAAAAACTTATACTTCTGTAGTTAAGTTTCATTTGGCGTCAAGATGTAGATCCTGGCTACATATAAGTTGTAGTGATGGGAACGAGGAGTGAGCATAGTTTCGTTAGTAAAAATGTGTGTGATGAACGCTATGTTAAAATTAGGTAGGTACTAGTTAGTATTTAAAAATCAAATTTTATTAAAGTACTCGTAATGAGTTTTGTTGTGGTTTCCAAAACAGTGGGTCTAATATGAGAGTATCACTGTATCAGTAACAATTATGTTTATTTTTCTAGTGTCCGCATGTTCTGATAAAAATGATTCTTTAAAATTTCAAAATTATTTGCAAGAGACTATAACTTAGTACCTAATGTTTAGGCAATCACTTACTGCCTTTTGTTTTATACAAGATGTAAGGAACAGAATAACTTAGATTAATGTCCTGAACTCGACATCATTAATATTGTTGGCACGTGGTAAATATTTATACTTAAAAATATCCATAGATTTCATTACTTTCATGTTCTAAACTCACTGTTTGAAGTGTCTGCCAAACTGTCTTTAACTAGCTCTCTTGAGTATAAAGATCCTAATTGGACTAGAGAACAGAACCATTTGAGCGTTGAATATTTAACAAGAAAGAAAATTCTAATAAATTCAATGACGAAGAATTGCGAGGAACAAGAAGTACTCCAACTCGTTTAAGATTATTTAATATTTTCAGTTCAATGAGCTAATTCCGTTGCTCGTTCCGTAATTTTCATTCTCACTCCGGTTAGTGCTTGGTCAAGATGTTTCAATTCTTTGGATTTTCATCTAATTGGTTGGAGGGAGTAACGAGGAAGTTTATATTTATTAACAGATCTAGGTGACCGGATTCTGAATACAATAATTGAAAATGGAGATTTATGTCTGTATTTTAAAATGAGTCTCAAGACTATTCAAACTGAAGCACGAGGTATGCTGCCCTACGATTGATTGTGTTTCAATATTTTGCAAAACTGGGTATAGCGTTCTTGGTGAAAGCGCAACAGACACATTTAAATATTCATAATCATCGTAGATTTTGACTACAATAGATATCAGTTCTGTAGTGACATTTCTTACGTACATTCTTACATCTTCCATTGGGTCAGATCCGACTATGAAAAGGGGACTACGCTGCGGTCGAGATTTTCTTTAGCGCGCGGTTTTTTTACCGTCTTGTGTCACGTAGGACGTAACTTACAGCGATAGGCACCATAAAAAGGCAATTCAAGTAATTGAAATTTTACGATTACAATAAATCACCACGTTCATATAATGTGTTTTGTACTTTAAGTCACGTACAAAATGTAATGATTAAAAATGTATCTCCCATATTTTACGAAAAAAGCTTAGAAACGTAACATAAAATGCATATTTTTGAAGTCATTCTAATATTAAGTGTAAGGTTTCTAGAATAAAATGAATGCTTTGCCATTTAATAGAAAGTCTGGGAAAATTTTCAACATTTTTCTTTCAGTCTATCCAGAATTGGCACTTTTAATTTCCGCGTTGCTCTATTGAATATGACTTTCATTTCTTGATAAAAAATTGGAACGCTTTCAAGTTTCAGGGAACTAGAAGTCAGTTACATGTAAAGGGGTTTTAAATGGTACTAATTACTCTAAAAGACGTGATAGTACATTTTGTTGTAACGCAATTTTGTTGTAAGTTTGTAACGCAAAAGTAAACAATGAAACGGAATAACTCTTACAACTAATTACATTGCCTACAAGATTATTAAATACCACAACATACACAACATGAAAAAAATGGTATTTTGTGGTTTTAGTTTTTGGCACAACTTTTATCTGGAACAACACATCGCATCTGAAAAAGTATTCGTATTTACAGACAGCTGGATATCTGAACTCTTATGTGTGTGTGTAATAGTGTCTATTTTGTATCAAAATTAAATAGCCTGATGTTCTGGCGACTGTACTAAAAGCTGTATTGCTAACCAAAGAAAAACATCGCTGCTCATTACGCTGAGCATTACCATTGTTATCTAACTCATAAATACTCATAATATAAAAGCAATAGGCAGAAAAATATTATTGTTACTCCTCGGTTGTGAAAAAAGTAACACAATGTCATTTTCAGGATAATTGGAACTGGACAGCCTAGAATACAAGATGCTACGAATAATTCGACATTTCACGACTTGGCTGTAAGAGCAGGCGATATGATTAATTCTTTTTCCTTTTCCTTTTATTTCTTACAACGGAACGAAATGGATTCACGCGTTGATGAAAATGGAAAAAATTGAAATGCCCGATTCAAAATTGGAACGGATGATTCTAATAAAAATTGTTGGTTTTGTTTAATTTTTTATCATTTTAATGCAAAAAAATATAGAGAAAATTTCGGTTGTAATAAGAGGAGGATACTTCATGCAATTTTGATGACAAAAACGAAGATATTATAAGTATTAACAGCCTTTTTGGTAGGATAATATTGTTGTTTGGAATGGTACCTACGCGTTTGTTGTACCTATTAAGGGTTTTAATATTTGCGGTGAAGAATGTTTAGTCGTTGCATCGATCTTTCAAAAAAGACTAACGAATCACCGATGCCTAAAGAAGGACTTAAGCTTTGTTTTATACACCTAAATATCAAAATCGTGCAAAATGCATGCAAGTAATACAATCAAACTTGGGATAAACCAACCGCAAACCTGCATTCAATTTAATCTTTTATAATAATCGTGGTGAACATAAATAAAACGGCCAATAATTTATGCAAATCATTTCTAAGCAAGGAGAAACAAAACAACTAAAGTCTAAAGATAAACAACCTACGTATTTCTAGCATTTTTTGTATTGGCCATTAAGGAAATGATGTATTTGTGTTTATTTGATCCACGGCCCAAATACGTAGGTACCTAAAAGGATTTTAAAAATATTTTTTGAACTTATAGAGTGATTGAGCCTTCGCAGTATTATTCTCATCATGTTACCTCTTCTTTCAAATCCTTGAAGTAGCTCGCTTACTATATCAATAGATGAATAGACAGCTCAGTGTTTGTCCTAGGCGCAGACCACCAACTTTTAGTTGGCCGATAGTTGGGCCCGATTCTAAGAATCGGCCGATACCAAATTAGTGTAATCGTGTAATATGCTCACATACATGCCCATACTGATTAACTGCCCGACTAAACTATCGGCCGACAAAAAGTCGGTGGTCTGAAAGATGATTTTGGTTTTAAAATGTGTCTAGAGAAGTTCAAACGATTACAAAAGAAAAAATATAGGGCGGTAAGGTCAGCTGGTTATTGATAAAATTATACAAACCTCAAGCAAAATCCCATGATCCTCAGAGCGTGGGTCCAATCGTTGTACTCGTCTTGAGCGGTTGGGTCGAGATGGTACCACAATTCGAACGCGTGGTACGGCAGGAAACAAATGAAGAACACTGTGAACAAAAGATAAGTTAGAGGCTAAAGGATCTTCGAATTATCACTGTTTTTGTAAGGGTCAGTTTTGTGTCTTGTACTAAACGAACTGAAGCAAATTATGTTCATATTAATCCTTAGCTAAATGAAAGATGCAATAAGTTTTAATACCGGTATAGTAGATAAGCCAGCAAATTCCTTATCACCAGGAATTCTTGAAAACCTTAGTCGGTGAAGTAAACTTTGGACCAAGCAGAAGGAAGAGTTCATTACCCTATTGATGAAGAAGGTTTGTAACTACATAAACTACAAGACCTAAAGCCAATAAATTCAGATTTTTACACGAAATATATCAACTGAGATTCTCCGTCTAATTTTTTAGCCCACAATGCTTTTATCGGAACGCTATCGCGCATTTCCAACGGGATTACTCAGTGAAAGGGAATAAAATACTATATTGGAGCTGCGTAGAAGGCCTGTGCTAAAAATAGCGGTCACTTTCTACCCTCGAGACGTATTTAAGAACCATTTGAAATCCGCATTGAATAAAAGTCTCACAAATCATACCACGAACTCGGAAAAAGGGACTTTTTTTGAGCTATCAAAGTATGTTTTCCATGTTTTTATAGCGATAGGAATTTATTGACACGTCACTTGTGACTAATGCCAATTTAAGTGCAGCTAAAAATTGATTTTAATACGGATAACAGTGTGTAAGTTGTAGCTGTTTGCAGTTTGCACACAACTATGGAAAACTGGGTCCGTTAACCCTTTATAGGGCATAGGAAGCGAAATTAGTAATACGGCGAGCTAAGCTAAACTAACTAATCTTAGTTCTTGGTTTTTAATCAACATAACAGTTAATTGTAAGATAATTTGGATTTTAGAGTTATGATAAGCCGTTCCTATAAATTATTAATTAAAATAGTGTCTGCCATGAAAAGAAAATTCTTAAGTTTCGTGGACTATAGTTCATTCAATGTTTCAAAAATATTTTGTCCTTTTGTTAAGACAAGTCGTTAAAGTTCAAAATGCCTTACTATTTAGCGGTTCTCTAGCAAAGATTAAGATACTCAGTGAGACGAATAACGACACCTCATACGTCACAATCTATCAAATCGCCTAAGCCAGGGTTGGCGAACCAATGGCACGCGTGCCAATGATGGCACGCGACATAATATTTTGGGCACGCCACCAATCACAAATTCAGTAATTCAATAGTAAATAATGTGTTTTGATTATGAGCTATCGTATTTGCCGTCATCAGTTAGTGCCACTGTAGAGTAAGGTCGTGTCACTCACCAGTGGTACCACTTGATAGCATTAGGTGTTAATTTAATGGCACTTGTCTATGACTACTTCAAATTTTTTTTAAAATAGTGGCACGTTCAAACTTAAAAGGTTCGCCATCCCTGGCCTAAGCTAATGCCAGCGTTCCTTAATCATAATAAATGAAACGTTCAGACGGAGCCATTCACGAATTCACTCGATATAATGGTCTGTCTTTCATATTTATATTTATCTAAAGTTATGTTGCTGGAAATATCTGAATCGCAACATTTTAGTTGTAGTTAAGTTTTTTTCCAAGATAATTTCGATCACTTTAGTAATTTTGTAGATAAGATGGTAAAATCGACTGTAGACGAGATTTAACATTCTTTTATTTTACAACTAGCTTTTTCACGCGTGATCTTCGTTTTGACTCGTTTCTTCTTTCTAATAACCGGGATACCAAATTTCATCTTAATCGGTTCTGTAGTTTAAGATTGAAAAGGTAACAGACAGAGGGAAGGATTATTTAGGTTTCATAATTACGAAAAAAGGTTAAATCTACTGCTACTACTACTGGATTCATTTACATAACAATAAAAAACAAAACAAAAGCTCAACTTCGTAAAATATTACCAAATAAGTTCAAACTCGTTTCCAAAGTTTTCACTTTAATCTCAAGTCTTACTTGGTAAACCTTTCCCTGATACCCGACAATTCATCTTGGAACCACTTTAAACTTGCTCCTGAGTGTTGGAAGCGCTTACTATGCAAATGAAGTGGCCTTTTTAGCAAATTAAATTTTATTGTCCGTTTCAAATGGCACATGCTTTTCATGCAGTTTGGTAACAACTGTTTGTTTTCAGCTATTTAGCCAAGGCAAGGAAGTATGAACTTTTCATATTATGTATTATTTATTCTTGAGTAGAAGATGATCATCACACATTGTAATTTGAAAATCTTATTCAGAAACCGGGCCTAAGAAACACATTAAAAACTATAAAGGAAGTTGATTTTTAGACGAAATTAATTTATAGATTAAAACCTTACCTACTCGTAATTATCATTCTACCATCGTTCGTTCGTTCATTACAGCCAAATGACGTCCACGGCTGGACAAAGGCCTCCCCCAAGGTTTTCCACAATGAACGGTCCTGCGCTGCCCGCATCCAGGCTCTTCCCGCGACCTTTACCAGATCGTCGGTCCACCTAGTAGGAGGCCTGCCCATTCTACCATACTTATACGAAATTAATAGATTTAATTAAGATTAATAGAAAGGATACCGAGAAAAAGATAATCCTGTTCGGTCATAATATTTGAAAGAAAAGAAAAGCTTTCGCGGAGCTATCTCTCGCAAAAGCTCAATACATAGGAAATAATAAAGGACATTATAGTATGAAATAAGTAGTTGTATAAAGGTAGAACTTTATTGTACACTTAGATAAGTATAGTAGTATATTGAATACCTAGAGAAGATTCATCATCATTATTTCAGCCACAGGACGTCCCCTACTGAACATAGGCCTCCCCCAATGATTTCCACAAAGGCTGGCTGGTAGCTGCCTGCATCCAGGCTTACTTATTACGAATAACAAAAGATTGTAATAGCTCAAAACTCTCCAAGAAAGGGTATGTAAATAGAATCGGAGGTGTCATAATGAGTTTGCAACATTCTTTTCAAACGCTCAGTAATATACTTTGTCACTTTGAAAGCGGCCAAAGTTCTCGTAAGGTCGACCTAAGTCCCCGTCGTTACGAAAGTTCGTTTCCAATTCAGTAACATTCCACATTTGTCTTCGCTTCTTATCTTGTCGTAGGTATTTTGTTGGCTCATTTATGCACATTCATCTGGCAGGTTAATAGGTATTACCAAGACACAGAGGGAAAACGGATTGTGTTTTTTAAGTCGCTCTGTTATTTTTGTGTGTCTATGGGACACTAAGGCTGAGTTGTACCAACTAACTTTGACCGTAACTATAACGATAACCTGTGTTTTTTGTATGGAATTTGACAGATATTTGACGTCAAAGTTAAAGTAAAATGGTGCAACCCAGCCTAAACGTAATAAGACCACTTAACTTGAACCGTAACTATAACGATAACCGGTGTAGTTTGACAGATTTTTGACATTTGTTAAAGTCAAAGTAAGATGGTGCAACCCAGCCTGAGTACTTAAACGTATTTAAAAAAACTATTTCGTTCGTTCGTTCGTTTTAAGCCAAATGACGTCCACTGCTGGACAAAGGCCTCCCCCAAGAAGGTGGAAGGTTCACCCGGAATCCTCAACCACAGAGGAACTGGTTGTCTTACCTCCAAATGCCGAAGCACAACAATGCTCTCAACACTATTTTTATGGCGATAGAAATAGGTAAGATGGTGGCAGCTAGCCAGGCGGAAACTGAAAAAGCCCACCACTTACCAAACCGAACAGAAAATTATACCACCACTTGGGTTCGAGCCCGGGCCTTCAAAGGTGGAATTGTGTAAAGCAATCGTACCTAATCATTTGACAGTTCATAACGTACAATTATTCTGTCAAACGCTTTGTGTAACTGACTTTATCGTACGTTATGAATTGTCAAATGATTACGATTGCTTTACACAATTCCACCTCTGGTCTGAAACCGGTGTTCTTCCACAAGACCACAGAGGCGGTTGATTTACCTATAAAGTGAACTAAGTCCAAAAAGGACCCGGCCTAAGTCGGGGAGCTTATTAAAGTGAAAGGTCACACATACGACCTATGAAGTTGAAATATGGCAGTTAGGATCAAAGGTCGGTGTCACCTAAGATCTTGTAAACGGCCCAAATTAATACCGGGAAACTGGGGTTTGTACAAAAATTTGTCGTTTCAATGTAAGGCGTTAGACATTTTGATATAATGACTTACATGATAATTACAAATACAGATTAAAAGACACGTATTTTTGTATTTTGGAAATATAAGTTACTAAATAAGTGACATTAGCTTACCTATGACGAAAATAAGCACCATGCAAGCAAAAGACTTCCTGGCGTTAGCCAGGCTACCTCCTCTTCCTGGTCACTGTGTAAGGCCCCTGGCATTTCCTTTTTCCTAGCCAACAGTCTCTGCAGGGCCATTAGTGACTGCACTTGTATTTGAGGAAAAAAAAGTTACAAAACAAGTAAAATTAGCTTACCTATGACGAAAATAAGCACCATACAAGCAACAGACTTCCTGGCCTTAGCCTGGGCCTCTCCCTGGCCCCCGTGTAATGCCCCTGGCATTTCCTTGGTGCTAGCCAGCAGCCTCTGGGCCATCAGTGAGTAAAAGAATGCGATGACCAGTAGAGGCAGGCCGTAGTAGATTATCGCCTTTGCTAGGGTCATCCATCTGAAAGAAAAAGTAAGTTTAGGAAAAAAAACACTACCTACTCTCTTATTAAGATAAGCTGGAGACACTGAAAATTGAAAAAAATCGTCAAGTCTGTATTTTGGGTGTGTTATTGTCTCAGTTTACTGGAAACATAAGACAACTGGCAAAACTTTTAAGTGGTAAATCGGACTCTTTTGGCTTGACAATGTATCTTTCTACATGCACTCTAAATCAATGTGCGGGGCGAAATGTTGTGTGGCAACCAGCCAGTTTGTAGTTCGAAACTGTAAGGTATTAGATAGCAGCAGTTTAACACTTTTAAAATATAAAGTACAATCTAAAGCTGGGTTGCACCATCTAGCTTTAATATATTATTACATTAAAACTCTGGTTACAAAAAACACCGGTTATGGTTATAGCCACGGTTAAAATAAGGTAAACTCTGTCTTAGCATTCGTTCAATATTGACAGAGTACTTGTAAAATGTCTGGAAGTCCGTCAAGCGTTACAAAATGATAGTTCACCGAAACGTACTCGTACGTTCGCAATAAACTAATATCGTAGTTCACTCTACCGTCAGCCATCCATCAAAGACCGCGGCTTTGGTTTGATCGCAACTTTTCCTCCCTGAATCTCGGTAAACATTCCGGCATGCATAATATATCGCGTCTGCGAACTGTTTCGATTAAGATTGGTGGACTTAACAGAATCGAATCGTAAAACAGTATTTCTTTTTGTAAGGTTTAAAGTTTATAGATAGGTAAGCTTTTAGAGGAAAAAACTTTGTTCTATTTGCTTTGGGCTGTACAAAGTAGAAGTATTTACTCGTAATTGCAGTTCGCAAGTCATTTTCCTTACTAACAAAGAGATATAGAGATACTATGTTTTTTAGTATTTTGTATTGTTATACTTATGAACAATGTAAATGAAGTTGAATACTGAAGATTACTCTGTTTACTATGTGCGCACATTCATCCATCATTTTAAATCCTTTCATTTTTCTTCATGTTAATGGTCTCCCAATGCCTTCAAGTAAAACGACAATTTCACAAAGCAATCTCGACTCTCACATGTAGAGGAATGTGTCAATCAAAACGAGCAAATGGGCCTATATCATCAATCACCATCGAGGTCAGCTGTGGCAAACATTCGGATGGGAGCTCGCACGGGATACCAACGGGTTGGGGTCATATTATGGTCACTTTAGGTTATGATTTATCTAATGCAGAGTAATTTAAGATGCCAATCTTAAGAATGAAATGGATGAAAAATGTTTTTAGGTTTTTGACCAAGATTTGGCTTTAAAAAAAAGCTTTGTGATCTTTAATTGAGATCGTTTTTAAATGTTGGCAACATCAAAACAACATTCTGTCCTCTCTTGTCTTTGTGCTAATAACATGACGTGTGTATAATCGATACATTGTTGAATTAAACAAACATCTTTCATTTTATGGAAAAGAAAGTCCTTATTTTCACACGTCTGATTATTTCATGAATGTACAAATATACCTGCGTCAAAATATCTCCCAGTTATTTATTGAAAACCATACCTTTACGATCAATGTTGTTAATTTCATAGCTACACCGATAATGGTTTGATCTTTACATAATAATCGACATTATAATGAAGTAAATTGATCTTTATAATTTTGCTAATGAATTTTGCCAAAATTAATAATGATTTTGCCGTGTTTATGGCGAGATATCTAATTTTCGATTCTCGAGGGGAAAATTGTTGTTTTTTAAAGATTAAAAATCTATTTAAGTAGACTCGTGCGAGCGATTAGTTAGGTATTTTATTATCCTCTACTTTAAAAAGTCAGCAAATATTGTTTTTGCTCGGCTACGTGTATTTGCCTCAACAATTGAATCAGGACATTGAACCTTTATTGTCATTGAATCGATTAAGCACTTTGTTTACAAACGTATCTACCTATGTCCTAGCTATTTTCAGTATTCAGCTTGCACGTAATTTGTAATTTCGTTTCAGCCAAATGCATGATTCGTGCATGTTATAAGATACATTAAATTAAGTATAGATACTCGTACCTTAAATCATGAGTCTAATCACAATCAGAGGTTAGTTGTAGTATTGTGAGTAACTTATAAGCTTTTTTACTTGGTACGTTAACATGTTCATAGCCAAAAGTTATAAAATCTTGAAAATTTATGTACAATCATCATCATAATTTCAGCCATATGACGTACACTGCTGAACATAGGCCTCCCCCAATGATTTCCATGTTGATCGATTGGTAGCGGCCTGCGTCCAGCGCCTTCCTGCTACCTTTATGATGTCGTTGGTCCACCTTGTGGGTGGACGTCACACGCTGCGTTTTCCGGTACGCGGCCTCCACTCCAGAACCTTGCTGCCCCATCGGCCGTCAGTTCTGCGTACTATGTGCCCTGCCCATTGCCACTTCAGCTTGTTAATCCGTCGGTCTATTCAATACAGTAATTGTTATGTAAAATGTACCTACTTCGGATAATTCTCCCAGCCGATAGGGTACGGTGTGCAGTAGACAATCGTGATGTTGGTATCGTCTATGATGGCGGTGACCGTTTTAGAGAATATGGCCGCCGGTGCTGCGAAGATGAGCGCCGCTCCCCATATAAAGGTTGCGCAGACTAGAGGCAACTTGCGTAGCTGAAACAAAAATTGAATTAGTGTATCATACAAAAAATAATAAAGCTCGTAGAACTGATGACAGTTGGGGAAAAAGTTCTCGAGAGACATGCCTGTTTTCACCATCAATTCCTAATTTTTAAGTGACCCCTATGGTGTCACAATACAGGCATTTTGCATTCATAAGAGTCACATAAAAATTAGGGATTGATGGTGAAAACGGGCATTAGGCCCGGTTTCTATCAAGGTGAAGTGAAGAGCAAGTAGAGAAGTGTTTTGAATAATCAATCAGATTTAATTATTTCCATATCTCTTCTCCGCTCCGCACGGCTTCGCTCTACGTAGCGCCACCGCCGCTGTCAAATAGGCTAGTTGCCTAAAAAAATTTTTTTAGTCCGTAATGTTTAATATCAAAAAATATTGGACACGTATATTTTTATTTGTCAATCTAACAAATAATTACATAGTTATGGTGCGTTGAAGTTGCGCACGACGTCACAACGTGCGGCATTTTTAAGCAAGCGTTGACGTCACGGGCCTCTTCTTATGAACTTTGGGGCGCTTTATCTCTTTAAATTTTCATTAGTTTGAAAAAGTGAAAAATACGTGTAGAGTATTTTTTGATAAGTTAACTGACGGACTAATTAAAACTCTTGCTTTTTGACCCAGGCAACATCCCCATTCTATACAAATATTTGTCCGCCCGACACTTCTCGATAGTGTGGGCAGGCGCCCGACGATTCTCGATAGTGTGGGCAGGCGTCTCATTAGATAAGCCATCGATCTAGTGAAGGTTGCGGAAAGCAACTGGATACGGGCAGTGCAGGACCGGTCGTTGTGGAAATCTTTGGGAGAGGTCTAGCAGTGGATGTCATTGTCACGTGACGAACTGCTGAAATATTGATATTATACAGGGTGGAATTTTGTAATGCCACCTGGAGGGAAAGTGGTACTCTTAATACTGTAGATAGAAAATTTTACTCAAAGGAAAAATATTTTCTTTGTTTTTGTAAAGAAAGAGAACTACATTCAAAGATTTCCAAAGGTTTTTCGAAAATTCACCGTATAGCGGCACACAATAATTTTCCGTAAATAATTACAATAATTTAAGATTTCATGGTTTTCCTTTCATTTGATTTATCAAGTTTGTTAGAAATATTTCATCCTTATACTTAACCCTAACGATTGATGCAATAAAATACAGGGTATAATTTTTAACAGATTTTAGTCGGTTTGATTCCCGGGTGTGGCAAGCTTTTGGAAATCTTTGCATGCAGTTCTATTTCTTTTCAAAAATAAAGGAATGTTTTCTTTGACTACAATTTTGTATCTACAGTATTATGGGTACTTTCCCTCCAGGTGGCATTACAAAATTCCACCTTGTTTAATGTTATTAATATTGATAAATAGGAGAAATAGGTATTAGGCTAAGTACTCAAAAAATATTTTCCTACTTTAAAAGTAGTGAAAAAGAGGATCAAATTGTGTATAACGAACTAGTCTTTTCTCATGAAAAAGAACTAAGCCGCGCGTAGAAGATAGTGTTTAAAATAAAGTAAACGACTCATTTACTTTACAAAAGAGAAGTAAATGGCCAGAGAATTGCTAATTTCCACCATATCACCAAACAAAGTCGAATTAATTACTTCGGTAATCCTAAATTGGGTTAGTTTTGTTTTTTAATAGCAAAAGACACGAGAATCTCTTTGGATATTTAAAAGTTTAAAAAAATCTGTGTTTCGTTCTTTGTAAAGGGGTACTAATTTAATTAACATTTTAAAAATATCTTTCAACAATCTTTCACTACTTTTAACTAGACACAAAGAATTCTAATATTTTAACGTACACTTTTCGTTCCTTTTGTAAAAACGATATTTTAATTTAAAAACCTTTTAAAGAGCACCAGACAAGCTAACATTAACACATAATAAATAAATATATTATTATTCTTAGTTTGAATAAACGGCTTTATAAAAAGTTCTAATGGAATGAAATGGTCTAGAATGATGTACATTAATCCAGACAAAGATGCTTTTAAAGAATGAAATATGATTTTCAAGGCAAAAAACTTTCCCATTATAACGGGAATATTCCCACCTCTTGCTCCCACCGCTGCAACTCATGTGTCCCATGATTAACGTTATGAAAGTTTACATGATATTAAATTTTTAATTTTCAGTAAACAGGTACAAATCTGAATTATAAATTTTATTTTGTATGAACATTTAATAAATTAAAATGATGATATCAAGTTTCTGACTTCACCATACCATTTATATGCATATGTTAACATGGGCTAGTGTCAGCTCATATACCCATTTACCTACTTTATAAACTTTCTTTTTGTGCTTCCTGCTATATTAACTAACGCTCTCAAACTCATGTGTCCCATTAACGTTATGAAAGTTTACATGGTATTATTTATTTAATTTTTAATTTTCAGTAAAATATAGCATTAGCTGAATTACACACAGATAACGCCACAAGGTGGACAGACGATCTCATAAAGATGGCAGGAAGGCGCTGGATGCAGGCGGCTACCATCCAATGGGGATGCCTATGTTCAGTAGTGGACGTCCTGTGGCTGAAATGATGATGATGATGATGAATAGTAATGCATTTTGCTTAGATAACGTTTCATCATGTAATTCAGGCCTTAATTTCAATTAATACAAACTAACACATAATTTGATGTACTTACGTTAATGAGCTTTTGATTTAAAATTAATTTGGGGAGCATTTTGTTTTTAGTTAACCTAATAAGTTAATTAGACGGTTCAAGAAAACAATTCAATGGATGAGATTGTGTTCTAACAAGATCATTAATCTAATTTTAGAACGTTTTAATGTTCCCTTTGCTTACTTGCAAAATTACAACGGAACTCAAAATCAAGTAAAGGTAAGAGAAGGGTTATGACTACTCTACACTCTGCAAGCGTAATGGTAGAAATTGAAAATTATTCATTATTAATTAATTACGTTAAACTTTTAAGGCATGATAAATTTACATTTACATTCTTAATATACTTAAAGGAGACAGTGTATATGAATTGCAAAGTATTTTTTATCAGATATTAATTTTGATAAAGAAATAATTATCTTTGTGGAATTAGAAAGCAGAAACAGATGCTTTTCTGAAGATGATGTTCAGGAAGAATATTCAAACTTCGTCACAATAAAACCGTTGTTGTTTTTGAACTTAAAATGAAATAATGTCACATTATTAACTCTCTTCTAAATATTAGTGCTGATTACCACACTTCCGTTCTGCGAGTTCGCAAACAATAAATAAAGTCAGGGTTTCAGCCAAGCTTTATTGGCCAATTGCCATTGCAATGGCGTACTAGATTATAACAGAAGCGCCACTGCACTGATTTTGACTTTTGGATGCCAAAGATTGCCTTTTGCAAAACAACCCTTTTTACTCGTTACAAATTACTAGTGACAACAGTAGATTGGACAATCATCATCATCATTTCAGCCATAAGACGTCCACTGCTGAACATAGGCCTCCCCAAATGATTTCCATAATGACCGATTGATAGCGGCCTGCATCCAGCGCCTTCCTGCGTGCTACCTTTATGAGGTCGCGGTCGTCGAGTAGATTGGACAACAAGGATACAAATAAAATGATATTGATATTAAATCTAGTGTTTAAAATTTGAATTTAAAGCGAATGCAAAAAAAGTAAGTAGGTACATATCATTATTATTTAGTGACAAAAGATATGTTAGGGCTCAAACCCACGGAGACATTCTGCTTTTTGGATGTATTGTTTTTGCAGGATCCCGCAAAACTGGATTGTTGTGGCAAAGGATCTGGTAGACGTAACTTTTTACTATGTTAACTAACGCTTTCAAACTCACCTGTAACTTCCTAAAAGGGTTGACAATTGCGCAGTATCTCTCCGCCGACAACGCTGTCAATGTGAACACAGACACGCCGATGCTCACATCCTTGGCTGCTTCAGATATTTTGCAGATCAGCTCGCCCCACGGCCATGATTCCAGTGTGTAGATGATGGACACGAAGGGCACACAGATCAGGATGACCAGGAGATCAGCGAGAGCTAAAGAGAAGATGTACCTGTTGAAGAAAAAAGTAAAAAACTCATTTTATTTTTGCAAGTTGGCTTTTATAAAGCACTTTTACAGGTCCCAATATTAACCAAACCTCTGCTTCGGGGCTATAAATGGGCCAGTGTGAAGTGGAAGCAGCGCAAGAAATTCAGTCAATATTGTCAATTTCCATAAAATCTTATATCAAAATTAGAGTGTTCCGCCAAAAGTTGCAGAACTTTTTATCGTCTTAATGACAGTCCCAAAGATTAATGATAATGGTGATTATAGAAAGATAAGATGATAAATTATTTTATTATTGACAAGCCTAAGAACTGAACGCTAGAATTTCCTCGAATTCACAAGTTTTAAAGGGCGATTAGAGTTAATACATTAGTGGTAAAACGTGAGATAGCATTTCTTCGAAAAAAGTTATTTTAAAACGAGTTACGTAAAACATTTTTTAAATTTTACCTAACTTACAGATATTATTATGTTCCAGTTATCGGTTTTCTATCATCATAGGTATCAGAATGAATCAAATAGTTCTTACAATATTTGAGGTCCATTCCTTTTTCTATCTTTTACAAAGTACCTAGGATAAATTGAGTTATACATATTTACAAAATCTTTGCACTTTTTATTTCCGCTGTGACAGATTTTGCAATGGCAGTTCATCAACGTATACCGTCCGAACGTACATGCTCATTTCAGTAAAAGCTCTTTTGTTGACGGACGATCATCAGGGGAAATCTGTACCCTGAACAAAACATTGTCAAACGCTAGGTACATTTTCGAGGGTACACTGTAAATGAAAATTTTAAGAGCGAAGAATCCCATTGAGGTTTGAAATGCATTGTTGGATTGCAATCTGAGCTCGACCGAGATAGAGAGAATGTATTGTAATTTAAATTTATGAACGGTCTGGCTTATTACACTGTAAGTTCTTTTATATTAATCTGTAAGTTAGTATTTTAGAGCAATTCCCTTAGGCTAAACTAATTTTAATCTCTAATTTTGTTGCTCGAAAACTTATCTGGTTTTCAGAAACTGGATGATTTTATTTCTGTGATGGTTTAAATTACTGTTGCTGGCACATCAGATTCGGATTTATATTTTAGTTCTTGTAAATTAGCAGTTAGTTTTAAGATACCACGTTGTTTAGTTTATGAGGTATACCGTTGTCTGTATAATATCAAATTAACGTGACTTTAAAAAATGAGGTGATTAATTTTAATAATACGGATTCCTTTGAAAATTTTCCACGAATTTTTCAATCGTACACCATTTTTGCAATTCAGCATATTTTACCGACGTCACATTCTTTAAGATCAGTAACAATGGTGAGGAAATGAATTGCTTTTTACGCGTCTGGTATGAACATTAGGTAGTCAATTTATAACTTCAATTTTACAGCTATTATAATTATTTTTTTTCGAAATCAATGTGAAAAATATAAAAGTGCTTTTCTCTAACAATAATTCGTCGTATAAAAATTATAATTAAAAGAAGAAAATAACTTGTTGTTTAGAATAGAATACCAATTTACTCGTATACTTGCGATAAATAATAAGACATAATTAAAAATAATATGAACGGTAGAGTTAGTTTAATCGGTTCAAGATTAAGTCCCAGATAGCCTATCATAAACTTAATGATAAACTTTTCGTTTCACAAATTCGGATAGAGATACCTGGCAGCACAATAGCTCCAAACATTATATTTGTTTTAAGGACTCTACACACCAAAACCGGCGGTTTGGTATCGGCGGTATTAACCCACTTACTCCTACCAGGCGTTATAACACCGCTAAAAAGTAGTTCGGAATATCCTCAGATAAATTATTAAAATATTGAGAATTTGTTTACTGTTCCTTGTATTTTCTCTTCATTACGAATCAAGCTGTAATTGAGTATGTTCGATATCGCATATTTGCTTTATTTTGTTAGTTTTTTATTATTTTGAATTTTGTTATTTATTTTTGTGCAAAAACGTCTAATAAATGGTAAGATATTTCATAAACTTGCTAGTAATACCTCAGATTATACTAGTTATTATTATAAGTACTACTGTTAGCTACAAAACTATAAACATATGTTCTTGAAAATCTTTACATTTTTGAGACTTTTTAATGACAAAATTACGATCGGTGTTTTAACACCTGGTCGCATAATCGACGTCTAACCTGTACATTCATTAAAAGTTTAGGCCACGATATAAAAGACCACTGACACTTCACAAAATTGTGGACGTATTAGAAAACATTGACGACGATGCTCAGATACCGAATCACATAGCAATTTTACCACCAGAAAATGCTAATGCAGAAGCAACGGATGAATATTCTGGTGAAGAAGACCACGTTGCCTTACAAAATCTTCCAGGTTAGCCTGGTTCCGTTTATCTAACTATAACCTGGAAGATTTTGTAAGGTAACATGGTTCTTCACCAGAACATTCATCCGTTGCTTCTGCATTACTACTTAAGTAGAGCGTGTAAGTTTTCTATTACTATTTTTCGTGAACTTCCAGGTTCGCAACTTAGAGCCTAGGCAGAAGTACTGTACGACAAGTCTTCTTCAGATAAAGATGTTAACATCCCGCTCTCAGATTTTTTAAAAGTAAGACGAAACGAATCCAATGATGCCTCTAATGCAGTTAGTTCTTTTGCCATAAAAGTACCTACCGCAATCACAATTGCAATATAGCGCAAGTACCTACTGTGAAAGTTATGTGCCAAAATGTCTAAAATATACATTGCAAAGCAGTCGTACTCCGAAACAATATTTATGAAGAATTGCACCACAACTAGGGTCCACGGAGCGTACATCCCTCCCTATGTACTACTTTACTTACGAGTACTACACGCAACTGACATGTAAAATTTGCAAATAAAAAATCAATTTGGTGTAAAAAATGCGCAACGTACTAAAGCATCCTAGGCTATATTTATGTCTTACCATATACCATACCTCTGAATAAGATTTTGGTGTTTTTTTAATAAATGAGTATAACTTACAACTCGTTTTTAACTCTTAAACCTGTGACGCGCCCCGCGACGCATCGACAGCCCTAGCACCGAGCACGGAGATTTTGACAACCCTACGGCTGCGCNTAATTATTATCAACACTAAATCAATTATTTCTTATGTGAAGATCTACCTTATTATGTAATAATTTTTACAAGGTTTTGATTACATTCTACTTTTCAACATTATACATAATCGGCATTCAAAATCATAATAATTTTACTGTATTTTCCAGCTACCCTCATCCAAACTGAAAAGTGTGACCCCCAAACGCCTCCCCCAGTGAAGATCACAAAAGACATGGTGGAATTGGAACATGATATGCATGAAAACACCAAGATAGCTGTCGATAGCTTCAAGGCAGCCACCAACTTCTGTACGGAGTACAATAAGGCGCTGTTTAAGGTTGGTTGATTTTAGACTTTAATTACAAATCCTTAGGGTGATATTTGAATATGCAGGAGAACACAATTGACGACTTCAAGGCAACTACTAACTTCTGTAGGAGCTGTATAAGGTTGGTGGAATTTAGGCCTTATTTTGTCACTGTTAAGAAAGGTTATTGAATGGTGAAGTTGGAACATGATATTATGCATGAAAACACCAAGATAGCTGTCGATAGCTTCAAGGCAGCTACCAACTTCTGTACGAAGTATAACAAGGCGCTGTTTAAGGTCGGTGGATCTTAAACTTTGATTACAAATCTTTAGGGTGATATTTGAATATGCAGGAGAACACAATTGACGACTTTAAGGCCGGTACTAATTTCTGTAGGAGCTGTATAAGGTTGGTGGAATTTAGGCCTTATTTTGTCACTGTTAAGAAAGGTTATTGAATGGTGAAGTTGGAACATGATATTATGCATGAAAACACCAAGATAGCTGTCGATAGCTTCAAGGCAGCTACCAACTTCTGTACGGAGTACAACAAGGCGCTGTTTAAGGTTGGTGGATTTTAGACTTTAATTACAAATCTTTAGGGTGATATTTGAATATGCAGGAGAACACAATTGACGACTTTAAGGCCGGTACTAATTTCTGTAGGAGCTGTTTAAGGTTGGTAGATTTTAGACCTTATTATGTCACTGCTAAGGAGGGTTATTGAATGGTGGAGTTGGAACACGATATGCATGAAAACACCAAGATAGCTGTCGATAGCTTCAAGGCAGCTACCAACTTCTGTACGGAGTACAATAAGGCGCTGTTTAAGGTTGGTGGATTTTAGACCCTATTTTAATAGTTTTAAAAGTGGTTTTTGAATGGTGGAGTTGGAACATGATATGCATGAGAACACCGAGATAGCTGTCGATAGCTTCAAGGCAGCTACCAACTTCTGTACGGAGTATAACAAGGCGCTGTTTAAGGTTGGTGGATTTTAAACTTTAATTACAAATCTTTAGGGTGATATTTGAATATGCAGGAGAAGAGGAGGAGAACACAATTGACGACTTTAAGGCCGGTACTAATTTCTGTAGGAGCTGTATAAGGTTGGTAGATTTTAGACCTTTTTTTGATTAAGAAGAAAAAATTAATCAAGCTATCTTTAAGACGACAAAGTGGTCTTTAAGGTTAGTAAATTTTCGATGTTATTACGATACTGTTATGTGCGATCCGTCGTGCATCCGGTCCGAATCCGTCAACATACGAAAGAAAAGCTCTATAGAAATTGAATCTAGTGCGTAAACTACGACAGTTCCGTATCGTATTTTCTTCACGGATTCGAATAAGAACCAGTGAATTCCAGACCTTCGTTATTTTATAAAAGCTGAAAGTTTGTGGGCTGAGTGTGAGTTTACATCCAACGGGAATTTTAGCTTTTGAACGTTTCCCGCTAGGGGCGCTGTACAATCCGTCATACATTTAATGCTGACCGTTCCAACCCCTTGCCAGACAAGCATTTTAGGGTAGCTTTAAAAGGTACAGTGAAAGACTAACCTAAAACTAAATCGTTACAGATCGTAGAGTCTTCGCTGGACGACCTCGACAAGAAACACTACATGTCTGTCCACGGCTCGAAGGAGGCGCGCGACAAGGCCGCCTCCAAAGCCAAGGAGGCCGCCGCTAAGGCCAAGTGCGCTATCGGTAATTATCTTCTTCTTCTTTTTCTTTCTTTTCAGCCAAATGACGTCCACTGCTGGACAAAGGCCTCCCCCAAGGTTTTCCACAATGAACGGTCCTGCGCTGCCCGCATCCAGGCTCTTCCCGCGACCTTTACCAGATCGTCGGTCCACCTAGTAGGAGGCCTGCCCACGCTACGTCTTCCAGCCCGTGGTCGCCACTCGAGAACTTTCCTGCCCCAACGGCCATCGTCTCTACGAGCTATGTGCCCCGCCCACTGCCACTTGGTTTCAGCAATTCTGCGAGCTATGTCGGTTACTTTGGTTCTCCTGCGGATCTCCTCATTTCTGATTCGATCACGCAGGGAAACTCCGAGCATAGCCCGCTCCATCGCCCTTTGGGTGACCTTGAGCCTTCTTATGAGGCCCATAGTAAGCGACCGTCTCAGATCCGTATACCATCACTGGCAACACGCATTGGTCAAATACTTTCGACTTAAGTTATCATCATCATTCGTTAATTATCATTAATTTTTATCGTTAATTATCGTTAATTATCATCATCATTCAATCCACAGTAGCCTTATTCACGTTACAAAACTTCAACGACAACAAATCGCTGAGTTGCGATCCTATCGAGTAATTGTTCTTTCGAAATTACCTTTGTGAATACGGATTTAGAACTGTTTTTCAATGGGACGACTTCTGATCGTCAGCGAGATTTTGACTGTGTCAAAATACGTGATTATTAGGCCACTAGACGTCCACTGCTAAATATAGCCCACACTCTAGAAATGATGTGGTGAATTAATCACGTCTGAAATAAGCTAATGAATCTTATAAGATAAGAAGATAGATAAGATAAGCTAATGAAGCATATATTATTTAGCTTAGTTTATTATAAATGCCCGCATCTGATCATCATTTCAGCTTATGCCCACTGATGGACGTAAGCCCCGAAGAGCACTAACAAATACGATGTATTTCCTGCTATTTTCATCCAGCCACTGCCTTAAATCTTCTTGAGTTGGTATTAACGACCCACACCTTTTACTCTATATCTAACTGCCAGGTATTTTAATGTGTAAAAGAAATAAAACATGATAGTGTGCTGTAGAGTTTATCTGCATAACTCTTATTTTATCTTCCAGACACCCTAGACCGCATGATCAAAGCAGGCGTCCAAGCGCCACCAGAAAGCGTTGCAGCCACGCTGCGTTACATCAAACAATTCCGTGGTGACCTCACCGCGGCCGAGTCCACCTACAAGAAGGAATTGGACCAGTGTGTGTTGAGCGACAAATACTGGAACAAGGTTTGTGATGTTGTTCCGACATTAAATAGTCCCTAGATAAGCTAAAATTTTAACTTGGTCAATGTGTGCTTAGCGGCTGATACTGGAACAAGATTTGTGATTTTGTTCCAACATTAAATAGCACATAGATGATTTAAAATGTTAACTTGATCAATGTGTGCTGAGTGACAAATACTGGAACAAGGTTTGTGATGTTGTTCCGATATTAAATAGTCCCTAGATAAGCTAAAATGTTAACTTGGGCAGTGTGTGCTGAGTGACAAATACTGGAGCAAGGTTTGTGATGTTGTTCCGACATTAAATAGTCATTATAATGAGCTATAGAGTAAGTATGATCAAAGTGGGACGAGAGACCGCTACTGGAACAAACTTTGTGATGTTGTTCCGACATTAAATAGTACCTAGACGAGCTGCTAACGTGTACTTGAGCAATGCGTGTTGAGAGACAGCCACCTGAATAGGGTATGGACATGTTTGTGATGTTGTTCCGACATTTTAGTCTCTACATGAGCTACAGATGTAATTTCCGGCAGTGTGTGCTCAGTAACCGTTCCTGGAACAAGTTAGGACGTGTTTGTGATGTTGTTCCGTCATTTATTAGTCCTTAAACGTACTGTAGATACAAGTTCGACTCTTAAGCGACTGTTATTGGAACAATTGGATGTTGTTCCGACATTCAATTGTGCCTAGACGAGCTACAAGCTCGATAGTGTGTGTTCGAACTTTCGAAGACAGCTTCTGGAACAAAATAAGAACGTATTTGTGATTTTGTTCCGCCATTAAATAGTCCCTAGCCGAGCTACATACTTTAATTCAATCAATGTATGCTGTGCGACAAAACTGGAAGAAGGTACTGACGCATTTGTGATGTTGTTCCGCCAAAAGCTTTATGCACTATTTTGTGTCTTATTTACTATGCATTAAAGTTCATATTCTATCGTCAGGTGGAGATGGCGCGCAGTGCATACAAGAACGAACTGCAAGCGTTGTTCCCGGGCATCGATTTGAGCGCGCGCAAATTAGACGTCAAGGGAGACACTGACTTGCTACTGCTGTATACGCTGAAACAGGTATGAACGAAAACGCACAGTTTTGACAAATATTCGTTCGTTCAGCCAAATGACGTCCACTGCTGGACAACAGCCGTTTGGTGTAGTGGTTCGGAATGGACTACTATGCCGAGAGGTCCCGGGTTCGATTCCCGGCCGGGCAGAAATTGAAATTATGTATTTTAATTTCTGTGATGGGTCTGGGTGTTACTATGTATAATANCCGACATTAAGTAGTCCCTAGATAAGCTAAAATGTTAACTTGGACCAGTGTGTGCTGAGCGACAAATACTGGAACAAGGTTTGTGATGTTGTTCCGACATTAAATTATCCCTAGATGACCTACGAACGTGTATTTGAGCATGTGTTATGAAACAGTTAACTGAATAAGGGATGGACATGTTTGGGCCGTTATTCCGGGCCTGGAACAAGTCAGGACGCGTTTGTGATTTTGTTCCATCATTAAATAGTCCCTAGATGAGCTACAAACGTGAACTTGATCAATGCAGGCTAAGAGAACGCTACTGGAACAAGGTACACACGTTTTTGTGATGTTGTTCCGTCACAATCCGTGCTATTTTGTGTCTTATTTGCTATGCAATAAAGTTCATATTCTATCGTCAGGTGGAGATGGCGCGCAGTGCATACAAGAACGAACTGCAAGCGTTGTTCCCGGGCATCGATTTGAGCGCGCGCAAATTAGACGTCAAGGGAGACACCGACTTGCTACTGCTGTATACGCTGAAACAGGTATGAACGAAAACGCACAGTTTTGACAAATATTCGTTCGTTCAGCCAAATGACGTCCACTGCTGGACAACAGCCGTTTGGTGTAGTGGTTCGGAATGGACTACTATGCCGAGAGGTCCCGGGTTCGATTCCCGGCCGGGCAGAAATTGAAATTATGTATTTTAATTTCTGTGATGGGTCTGGGTGTTACTATGTATAATATGTATGTATTTTAAAAAAAAGTATTTAAGTATGTTTATATCCGTTGTCTAGTACCCATAGTACAAGCTCTGCTTAGTTTGGAACTAGAAGCATAGTGTAAAAATTCCAAGGATATTAAAATTTATTTATATTATTATTTATTTATAGGGATTTCCATAACGACCGGTTCGCAGAAAGTCTGGATGCGGGCATCGCAATGCCCGCATCCAGACTTTCTGCGACCTTCAGATCGTGGTAGATCGTGGTGGACCGACAAATATTCATTCTAATTTTATTATTATAAATCCTATCTTTCCCATATATCCTACTAAGTTTTTGAGGACGGATAGATGGATAATAAATAATAAAATAAATCTTTGGAAAATTTCACACAGCGCCAGCTAGCCCCAAAGTAAGCAACTTAATGCTTGTGTTATGCTGCTTNGTCTGAAAAAAATTTGGATACTGATACAAAAGTCACCCTGTATGTATGTATTTAAAAAAAAAGTATTTAAGTATGTTTATATCCGTTGTCTAGTACCCATAGTACAAGCTCTGCTTAGTTTGGAACTAGAAGCATAGTGTAAAATTTCCAAGGATATTAAAATTTATTTATTATTATTTATTTTTTATTATTTATTTATAGGGATTTCCATAACGACCGGTTCTGCGATGCCCGCATCCAGGCTCTTTCCACGACCTTCAGATCGTGGTAGACTATGTGGTGGACCGACAAATATTCATTCTAATTTTATTATTATAAATCCTATCTTTCCCATATATCCTTTCTTATCCTACTAAGTTTTTGAGTTCCTGTACTCTCACGCAAAAACTACTGAATGGATTTTGATGAAACTTCACAATTGGATGGTTTATACATCAGAATTATTATTCTGAATTTGATAAATTACAAAGTAGATGTTTCTGTGAAAAATTGAATTTGACGCAAATCAATCTTTTTTCCAGATCCAATATCTGCAAAATGAATTGGCTGAACTACAAACCATCAGAGATTTGAAAATCAACAGAGCTATCGAATGTGAGTATTCTATCTTGTATCTTATGTATATGACAGTAAAACTTATTTTACTAGTGTTTGATTTGTGTTCATATACTGTTATTAGTTAGAAGTATGAAGAAAAGTATGCATTTTTTTCAGGCCACGATGAAAAAGCGATAATTGAAGCAAAAGTAGAAGATATGATAAAGAAGGAAAAAATGGAAAAAGAAAAGGAATTCCAGAAAAAGGTTTTGAATTTCTTTAAAATAATTTGTTCGTTGAAATATGTATTCTAAATTAATAAACTTACAACGTATTTTCCTTTGAAATTCTAATGAATATGTTATTTACAGAGTTTGGAAGTCCAAGCAGAGGCGAATAGGAAACTAAAAGAACAATTGAAGAAGCAATTTGAGATCCAACAAGAGGTTCTGCAGGACAGACTCAACAGGAAAGAGAAAGAGGTTGGTTATTAGAGTTGCTTTTTGTTTGCACTTTCAGCTACTCGATATTCTTAATTCTTTGTCTGCTGGTAGATTATTATCTGCCTATTTTGAACTTTATTGTGATGATGTGAGGTTCAAATTGAATGACAAATATTATCTCTATACTGATTGAAGTAGAAACGTGAAGGTATTTCACTACGTAGAGCATTGTGTTGTATGTTTGACATTTTTATGAGACACCAGATAGTGTTGCGTTAAAATTTGTTTTTGTTGTAATAAGTATTTTATATTATTTTATTAAAATAAACTTTATTGTACACAAACTAAATTGATTGTTCAAAAGGCGGACTTAATGCCACCAGTCAACGTTTGGGCCAAACAGAAAATTAGGCGGTGTATAAATATTGACGATTCAGAGGCGATGCATAATTTATTTACAAAAAAGTATTAGGTTTATTTTATCTTTGGTTCCTAGCTTTACTTGAAAGTGCTTCAAGTATAGATCTCGTTGCGTATAACAAAGAATACTTATTCAATTACTTTTGTTGTAGATAATGGGCAAATTCAGCCGCTCAGTGTCGGAGCAAGTGGAGAAAGAGCGCGTCGTATTCAAGCGGGAATTGGCTGCCATGGCCGGCAAGCTGAAGGCCATTGAGCAGACATTGAAACGTAAGTGATAATATATTTGATCCTTGCCTAGTTTCAATACACGGCCAAGTTATACAGGATGTTAGGTAAATGGGTATATGAGCCGACACTAGCCCATGTTAACATAGTCATATAAATGGTATGGTGAAGTCAGAAAATTGATATCTTCATTTTAATTATTTTAATTTTCATACAAATCGGATTTTTTAAAATTTATTTTGTATGAAAATTAAAAAAAATTAAATCATGATATCAAATTTCTGACTTCACCATACCATTTATATGCCTATGTTAACATGGGCTAGTGTCGGCTCATATACCCATTTACCTAACATCCTGTATAAACTTTTATTTTAAATGCAAAGTTTGTTCTTGAATGCGACTTGTGACATAATGCTCGGCTAGTTCTAAACAACGAGGGTTTTCGCGAATGAAAAATCCGCCAGATGGCAATACGTAGACGCGAGGTCCAAATGCTGCATGATTGGTTATTTTTGACATGACATTGACAGATATGTCAAAATCCACCAATCACGCAGCAGTCAGACCCCACATCCACGTCCCGCCATCTAGTGGATCTTTAATTCGCGAAAACCCTCATTGCTCTCAACACTCAATAATTTATTGCATAAATAGAAATCGGCGCTAGCTAGCCAGTTCCTTTGCTCGAACTTGGCTTGACACGTTGTCTAGATTAATGTACTACATAAGGCTGCAGTGCATTTTTCTGATTTTACAAAAAAAACTGTTACCTGGATATTAAGGTAACTTTTATACAGTAAAAAATGATGCCCTAATACTTTTTTCTTCTTCAAAGTTACCCTTAAAAATTAAAACTTACCCAAGATGACCGTACTTGTTTTACAGGTTCTTGAGCTAGGTATTTCTTTTTTAAGTGGGTGCGGTAACATTTATACGATAATTTTTGATTATTTTTGTCATATTTCAGAGCGAGCCAAAGCCGAGGCCGAGGCTCGTCGCTCGCAGTCTCTGTGGGCGGCCGGTGAAGCCTTACTAGCGGCCACGCGCCGCGGCGTCCCTGAAACTAGCATCGATAACGAATTGAAGGCCCTAGAGAAGGCTGGTACGTATGCTTTATTTATACATCATAATATCGTGTATTTGTCCGTAGTGTAGTGACTAAGACGAAACGCGACATGAAGCGATGCGACGTAATGACTTCACGTAACGTTATGACACATGTCATGACACTATTATATGTAACGACAACGATATTTTCTAGGATAACGTGTATAGATGACCTACACTGAACTGTCCCACCAAACTCATTGACAGGGGGGCGCCACCATCGTTCAACTATACAACATGACAAAAATCGAAACTAGCGATCCGGTATTGACGGTGGCGCCCCCTGTCAAAGTCACGGGTGGGACAGTTCAGTATATTGAGTCTAGAAGGCAGTAGCCTAGTGACGGGACTGAGCGAGACAGCGCGCGTAGTTTTAAAACTTTCTTGTCCGCGCGTTTTGGCCGCTCCATGGGCTTACTCTTCTTATTATATTTTTGGCAAAGACTGTTTTGAGAACCACGATTTCGCCAATGTCACGAGAGCAAACGAGGCTAGTCAGTGAGCGACGTAATGCGTAAGGATAACAAAACAGTTCGGTCTTGCTTGAAAAGGCTGGTACGTATAAAGTGACCCAACAAAGTGACAATCTCAGAGCGAGCCAAAGCCGAGGCGGAGGCTTGTCGCTCGCAGTCTCTGTGGGCGGCCGGTGAAGCCTTACTAAAGCCTGGTCCGTGAGCACGTAGAATTTTGTCCAATGACGCCAAGCTACCCATCCTTATCGCTCGCGCGTAATTATGTTGCTGTCGCGCTCGCACACTCACTACGGGCGCCCGTCGCACAGTCGCTTTAGCGGCCACGCACCGCGGTGTCCCTGAAACTAGCATCGACGAGTTGAAGGCCCTAGAGAAGGCTGGTACGTATGCTCTGTACACATTGAGCTCTATAATCACTGTACAGGCTGTCTCATACAAATGTCAGCTAATTCTGTGTGCCAATTTGAAGCGCCACTACGAGTGTCCCGAGAACTAATTTTGACGTACATTATATGGAGTAACCATAGGAGTAAGCAAGAAAGAAAAACACTTATTTTAGTTCCATGGATACTCGCCTACAGTATGGCCTACAGCGCCAAAATGACGACAAACAGGCACTAAAATATTATGACAGCAGCCAATCCAGTGTGTATAGAGGTTAGTGTCTGTCTGTCTGTACATCATCATCATTAGGATTAGAGTATGTAGTGCACTAGCGAAGGGACTGTCCACGTGTTTCGGTCGCACTACGGGCTTAGTCTTCTTATTTTATTTTTGGCAAAGACTGTTTTGAGAACCACGATTTCGCCAATGTCACGTGAACTGGCCTAGTCAGTGAGAGAAAGCGACATAATATTTGTTTTGATAATAATGTTGTACCAGTACATAAGCACTATCATTTAATTTTGCAATCATTCATTAAACTCTGATGTGCTGTACTATATTCATTTTATTTATTTTATTTGGTGCACAAAACAGGGATACAACCATAACATACAAAGCGTTTTGCAGTAGTTTATACAGTATAACTTGTTGCAGCTCCAATAACAAGTGCACACAACATACAAATCGAGTTAACAATATACATAATACATAAATTATAAATAGAAAAATAATTATTTAATGTTAATTAATAATGAGAATAAGTTATTAATAAATATAATGAAATTTAAATCAACAATTCTCTAAGAAATAAAGATGAGAGAGGAATTATTTTCCCGTTCCCTTGTGACGTATATCTTTGTTTCCAGGCAAGGACGACAGACTGGTGCAGACAGTGCTAAAGGGCATACCGACTGAAGTGCGCGAAAAGGGCATCGCGACTGAGAAATCCTTGCGAGAGAGGTTTGATACGGTAACGACATATTAAACACCACATTGTTACTATATTATGAAGCAATTTGCTTCTAAAATCTAAAAAAATAAACTTTAGCAATGTGGTCCAACACGTAAAGCTTTTCGTAGATGCCATGATGCCTGGGTTGTTCTTCGATTATTTTATGGTTATTTTTACGGTCTGTTTCCGTTTCGTTCGCGGCACCAGTAGCGCAAACTGTGCAAGCAAAAAAAATATTATGCGACGATGCACTGAATAATTTCGCATTGTTCCCATTTTGTGCTTAAAATATGAAAATCGATAAGATGAAAGACTAGTTATCCCAGTGAATTTCGATTCAAAGGCAGACTAACTCAAATTACCCCGAATGTAGACAGTTCGATGTCAAGTTGTTTTGTAAGATTACCAAATTACATTATTGAAATCCTATAAATATAATTTTAATTGAAATTATGTTTTTTCAGATGGAGAAGACAGCGGTGAAAGTGGCCTTAGTAGGGCGTGAAGGTGCTACCCTACCGGTTTACTTCCTGTCGTGGCTGCAGTCTAAACTGCTATTCCAAAAGGTGAGAGACGTTTTGTATAAAAAAATCAGATAAAAAAAAAGATTATGATGTCCAAAAATTTAGGAGAAGCGAAGTAACCAGTGGGCGGTATGTGCCCCATACCAGGCCTGTTCATCTCCGCGAGTTTACAATGAGGGTTGCCAACTCTTGAAAGGACCAACCCGGGAGAATTGTGGGGGGGGGGGGCTTGCTCCATAGTTGCTCCATCACGCTGAATACGAATGCAGGCAAAGGCACGAATGAAGCATTAATAGAGACAGGAATGGAAAGAACAAACGTGGCCATTTTTTTTTATTCAGGACAAGGATTTCTGTCTTTCGATTTCGTAAAGAAGTCAACCCAGCGTAAATCCACTCGATTTTCTTCAATAAGATGTGGTTGCACCTCACGCAAAAGTCCAACCTCATCGTACAATTTGTCACTACCTATGTCAATATTTAATAATTCCTGAAGTTTAGTAATGCTGGTCAATGTGATTGGTTCTTTTAAAGATAAAATGTATACACAAGTACGAGCATTTAATTTTTAGAAATACCGGAGAAAATATTGCTCTCCGGGAGGTCGGGAGAATAACCATTATTTCCGGAGTCTCCCGGGCAATCCGGGAGGGTTGGGAACCCTAGTTTACATCGAAAACAAAACACGCACGATGGCCCACCTACAGGATACTATTCGACAAGGCCTCACATACGAGCGAACATTGACTCACGCACGCGTATTCTTGTGTATGATGGAAGAAAATAAAGAAAATGGTGTACTTTTTTAAGTTGCCTCAAGACACTGAGAGGTAAATAAGTAGTTCTGGTAAAACTGATGGCTGCTGGGGCAGAAATGTTCTCGGGTAGCAACCACAGGCCAAAAGACGTAGGCAGGTCTTCCATTCGATGGACTAACGATCTAGTAAAGATCGCGGGAAGCACCAGGAATTCCTTAGGGGACGCTTTTCTCCAGTTGTTATCGTCCTTTTGTTGAAACAAACGATACAGGGGATATAACCGCGTTTGATATTTCCGTAGCTTTAGTAAATACATTATTTTATTATTTGTACATTTCTCCATGCAACTAAGTAAATAAGGGCCTATTTCTATTGATTACAGATAACGGAAATTCCCGAAGATGAGTTGGACAACAAGCCCACAGACTTCACGAAATTGGACACGTTTGACATCATCCAGAGGGCAAGGTAATTTAAATTGAAATGACATCAATTTAACAAGACAGCTTCTAAAGCGAAATAAACCCTTTGCTCTGTTAAAATGTAATTAAGTCAAAAGCCTTTCTTCAAAAGCATTTCTTTTTGAGCTTCGTACAGTGATATGTACTTCAATTTGACTTCTTTTCAAGGTTGAAATTGTTTGAATTTATAAGTTTCTAGCGCTTAACTCAGTGCCTAAGGTATGGCAGCGGCAAGTGAGGGTGTTTTAAAAACACTGTTTTTGTAACGACAAACGTCAGCTAGAGTTCACATCTCTTTCAGAATGAGGGTTTTCGCGATTGAAAAATCCGCCAGATGGCAATACGTAGACGCGAGGTCTAAATGCTGCAAGATTGGTTATTTTTGACATGACATTGACAGATATGTCAAAATCCACCAATCGTGCAGCATTTGGACCTCGTGTCTACGTATTGCCATCTGGCGGATTTTTCAATCGCGAAAACCCTCATTGTATGCTTTGTCAAGTCACAATTTTTCAATGCCACCCTTCCCGGGCATTGAAAACTCCTATAGATTGGTCTTCAACAGAATCGAATGCTACGCTTAACTGAGACATTTCTTCACTAAGTTGTTCATAAATCGATCCTTATTTCCAACACCACAGGTTCCACATGAACCACGGCAACCTAGGCGCGGCGCTACGCTACGTGAACCTCCTCCAGGGAGCCCCACGGGCCGCAGCCAGGCCTTGGGTGGACGCTGCCCGGACGCACCTCGAGATCCGTCAGGCCGCAGAGGCTGTAATGGCCCACGCGTCAGCTTGCGGCCTGTTATACCTGTAAGGGAACGACGTGAGTGGATTTCTTTAGCCGTTGGTGTCTGACAGGCTTTTTGGTACAGATTGCACATCAAGTGGATTGTATTTGGTTGTAATAAAAGCGATTTTGCAACAAAATTGTGCAGTCTGATGTGCTGTTTTGATTTTGAAAGTTAGAGGCGCCATTAGCACAAGCAAATAGTCAACCGTGCCCGTAACATAAGGGTTTTTTGCAATAAATTAATTTAAAATTGTGAATGAAATGTATTGTATTGTAAAAACACTCCAAATCTATAAAACCCCAATTTTGTTTTACGACTCCAAATAACTGTTGTCTTTTATAAATTATAAAATAAAGTTAACTATCAAGAAATCTATAGGATCAAAAAATTTTAGCAATATTTTGTAAACGCCTTGCTAGCTGTATTAGTGACGTTACTCTATGGCGTCTAGGTTAGCGATATAATCAACATAATGAGTTTGTGAATATAATGATGATGATTTGTGTGTAAAATTATTGTAGGCCTGTTATTTTGATAGTAAATATTTACTTGTTAATATCAACTTTGTGATTATGGCATTAAGAGTGATACAAACATCATATAAATATAGCATAAGACTATCAATCTAAAAGACATACTAAAATCAAATGAATACTGCCAGAATGAAAACCAGTGGCGCTAAAGAAATTCCTTCACTTAAAACTTGGAAAATGTTATAGCTAATTTATTAGTTGACTATACGAGGCCTGTTTCACTGAAAATTAGCGAATTCACGCGAAAATCTGCTGTGAAGCAAGGCCTTTTAAGTCGAAAGTATTTTAACACCTATAGGCTTCCATATTGGGCACCATTTCTTATGTTCAAGCAAAGTAGCATATGACCATCCAATTTAATTTTAGTAAGGGCTCTTTTAAATTGGCATTTTCTGGCACTTTTAAGCTTGTGTCTTGTGCTAGCCGCAGTCCAAGCGTAAACGCTCTAATAAAGTTGTAATAACGCTTCGAAGGGAATGTGAAGCGCTAAATCAATCAAAAAACGCTATTCTGAAAGAGCTCTTCTATGAGTCGCGACATCTATTTGATAATTAATTGATTCCTGTCTAAAGTGATAACGATTGTAGAAATCGTCTCGCTTAAACGATGTTACTTTGTTTTTAAGCTTTGTAAAGCCTAATTTCCACTAATCGCAATCTAAGTGTGTGTGGCCTATGCCTAAATGACGAAAGAATTAATATGTTGTTTTGTTACCATCAATTCTTCGTTGAGAGAATAATTTTGAAATGAAATCTCCTCTCTCTGAACCCTTGAAACACTGTTAGCGTAATTCAATACAATTGTTATGTACTTATATTTATTTTCGTTAATGACGTTTATCGTGATCCCTTTTTTGGGATCATTGATTTTGTGTTTATTTTTGTATCGATGTTATTTTTACCCAAAAAGGCTTCAGAGAAAGGAGTGCGCTATGCTACTAGTACAACTCAAGTTGTCCATTCTAAATTAAGCCTTATGCAATGTTGTTTAGAAGTCTATTTAGTGCGGTTCGAGTTGTAAAGACATATCACATAATTTAGTTGGTTTTTCAGATAGATTGAGTTATAAAGCTTGAATGGCAAAACAAAATAATTACCTACAAAAACCGACTAAGTCACGTGACAAGTCGCATAGTAGCATAGTGAGATCTTGATAAGGTAAAAGGGTGTCTGGAATGTAAAAAATAGGCTTAGATAATGAAAAAAATCTAGAAAAATCCACAGAAACTGTAGTCGAACTGTTAAATTGTTAATATCCCTGTTTTGTTCCTTTGCACAAAAGTGACCGCATTTATTCCTCCAGTCAGAATAGTATAAATAACGGTGCCAGCTGTACTAAATGCGAAGGTATAATTTAGTAACTTATGTAAATATATTGTAATGTAATTTAAATTAAAAGATGATTTTTATTTCGATTTTGTTCTTTTATTTCATTTTCAAAATGGATACTATTCGAAGGTCTATTAAAAGTGCATCATCCAATATGTATAGGAATAGGAACTAAAGGTAAACAGCTAATTTCTTTATAGGTTAATTGTTATTTTCAACAAAGTATATTTTATCAGTGCTAGAAATAGTTTTTACAAAGTAATGTATTACATTTTGCCGCCCGATCCTCTATCCTCTCCCACAGATTAGATAGTGCTTTTTCCATCGATATTTTTGGGAGAGTGTCTATGGCTTAACATAAAAGCTCCTTTTCTATTTTAAACTCTGGCACGATTTTGTTTTTGACACATCATTATTTTTCTTTTTAGCAGGTGTCAGAAAATTGATGTGAATAAAAAATCGCGCAAAGAAACAACAAGAATGCACACAAATATTACACAGTAATTATTTACAAGCAAGATGTACAGAGTAACATCACATATTTTAAGTAGTAGGTCTATGTTGGTAAGTGAAATTGGACTTTTTATGACAGCAGACACAAACTTAGGTACA